TAATTAATCAGTCTCTTCCCTCTCCCCCTCCACTCCAAAAAAACTATTTTTATTTTTCAGGAACATTTTAGATATAAACAATTCTTTTTCCTTAGATTTTCCTATTTCCCCTCAGTATCTCCTCTCTTCTAAAATATCCAAATATGTTCATTTTTTCTGAGGAATGCCCAAACAATGAAATATGACATAAATTAAAATTTCTCCTATTAAGTCTATTTGCCACCATTGTATCCAAACCCCAACATTCATTTATACATATATATATATATATGCACACACAATATATGCCAAGCAGTTTTTTTTTCTCTCCATTGTCTTAAAATATCTAGAAATATTACTTTAATTAGGTTTGTCCAGAACTTCTCTGGAATTATTTTGAAACTCAACTGATTTCTTGAAACTAATTAGCCCAAGGGTCCTCAGATCTCCAGGGTCATCCTGGAGATCCTTAAATTGGTGTCTTTGAACTTCCTCTAGAGATACCCTGCCAAGCCTCTTGGATTTTAAGGTAAGGTCATGGGTGTGGGATGGACGATTGCTGGCCCACATCTTTTTAAAGCAGGTTTCGAGGCCCTCTCTGAGCGTTAGGGACTCTGTTTGTGTTTTCTCATTTAATCCTTGTAAGAACTGGGTGAGGTAAGCTTTATCAGATCTTTTTTACCTACAAGGAAACAGGCTTAGGGAAGTTGTGCTAGTTCGGTTAGAGTCAAAGTTGCACATGTAAAGGAGGAACGCCTCTTATTGACTGGGCCTTTGCACAGAGAACCTAGATTCACAAGGCTCCAATAAAGCAAAAACAAGTTTTAATATACTGTCTCTAAGCATGCCTGCATTCAATGGGGAAGAAAGAGAAAGCTCCATGATCCAACGGGGGATAAAGGGTTTCAGCTTCATGTAGGACACAATGCTTGCTCAAGCAGGGGAGGGCGTGTGTGTACAACTTTTCCAGTAACTGGCAGGCTCTCAGGGACACCGGGTCTTGCATCATCTGGTGAGGGCTGTCTAGGTGTTGCGACAGCTGTGACAGACAGCACGTGTGTCCTGTTGCCTCAGCTGTCACAGAGAGGTTATTGGATCCTCTTTATCTCTGGGGCCAATATGTGGCTCCCACACCCCCTGTTCCCTGAGTCTTTCTTTGGGTGGAGTCCTGGCTTTTTCTGAGAATTGCCAGGCACTCAGGGGCTGGACTACTGGACACCAATAACTCCCTTTTAAAAGATATGTTTTTAACAAATCTCACATATCCTCACATATACGTAGGAGCTAAATATTAAAGACAATTGATCTCATGGAGACAGAGAGTAGAATGAGGCTGGGAAGGGTATCAGAGAGGAGGGTACAGTGGCAATGGTTAATGGGTGCAAAAATATAGTTAGATAAAATGAACAATATTTGATAGCATAACAAAGTGACTATAATCGACAATAAGTTAGCATATACTTTAAAATAACTAAAAGAGTGGAATTGGAATGTTCCTAACACAAAGAAATGATAAATTCCTGAAGTGATGGATACTCCAGTTACCCTGATTTGATTAATTCACATTGTATGCCTGTATCAAGACATCACATGTACCCTGTAAAGATATACAACTATTAGGTACCCATAATAATTAAAAATTATTATTGGATGGATACTGCAGTTACCCTGATTTGATTAATTCACATTGTATGCCTGTATCAAGACATCACATGTACCCTGTGAAGATATAGAACTATTAGGTACCCATAATAATTAAAAATTTTAAACATATATATATATTTAAAAACCAATCATGGACTTACATGTGAAACATAGTATCTGTACTTAAATTCAAATCCTGCATTATAATCTAGGTGAATCATCTGACTTTATGTTGAAGGTCCAAGGGATTCAACTAAATTAGGAGACGAATTGGTGAGCAAAGAAAACAATTCTCACTACAAAGTAGCATGTGTTTGAGGGATTTAGATTCCCCAAAATAATTGTCCTGTAGACCGCTAGTATAGAGAGATTAAGCAATGTCCCCAAGTCAAGATACAAACTTACCACCTGTGTAGGATTCGCCCCACTTCCTCGGTGTACAACCAGTGGTCTTTCTACAGAAAGAATTAATCTGGAGAGGTGACGGACTTTCTGTTACAGTAAATAGCCTTGTGGTAAAAAGTAGAAAAACAATAGTTTGTAGAAACACTAAATTGAGGATGTGGACATTTAGTGTGGACCAAAGATGTCTTCTGTCTGTCTGTTTGGTGGCCACCATAGCTAGCAAGCTGCCCTCTTGCATTATGTTGCTATGATTTTAGTTATTTTAGGTTGTTGTTATTTTGTTAGTCTATTTTCACCCCACAGGAGAAACTTACTCAGTTGACCTGCATGGTAGCAGAAGGCACTTTATGTTTGAACATTCTATTTAAAGTTAAAGCAGGGGAAAGAATTAGGGTAGAAATTGATTGCTGATGGGCCTTTTGCAATTTCCACTTTCCTAAAACAGAACATCCTTCTTCCCCAGCTACTACTGTTAACCTTTATTTAGAACGGAATAAATCACCAGACTCAAAATTTATGTTATACGCTAAAGTCTTCTGGAAAAGAACCTGTCTTTTCACCAAATGTCATCATTCAAAGTGTAACTGCAGTGCCCTAGAATAATTTCACATCTTCTTGGCCTCTCTCTGACCCAACGTCCTCTGTGCGCTTTGTTGTGTAACCATTGTGGGTCGCCACCCACCCCACCTGACTTTCACAGAAGGTGATTCACTAGTTGTTGTAGGCTTCTTTCCTGTTTTTTCGCGTCGTCTAATTGGTTTATTTTATTATTTTTTTTGTTGTTGTGGCATTTTGTTTTTCCTTTTGTACTTAGAAAAGATTCAAGGATTCTTAAGTGCTTCACAAACTCAGCTTTTGCGTTCTTATTGTTCCGGTGTTTTAAATTATGATTTTATACTTTCTATAGAACTGGGGTGGAGGAAGAAGAGGGTTAGGTGTTTGACATTAAAAATCTGACATTTGGAGCTTTTCTGTCCTCTCCCCGTGCTGGAACGGAGTGGGAGCACACAGACACGGCTCTCAGAAGCTGAGGGGCTGAAGCTTGGGTCCTGGCAATGAGAGTCGGTGAACCTTTCTGCTTGCCCCTCCTCTGGGCCCTCCTGGAAAACTCTTGGATTAAAATACCCCCAGCACTCTGAAACAGTCAGGGTGTGTCTGGAAGCCTCAGACTTGATCTAAGCAAGTGAAGTGTACACCTGTGGAGGAAGTAATTATACACTAAATGTCTCTTCTTACCTGGTTATCTAGTGCTGGAGAGAAAGTCAGATCCGACTCTAGTCTGTTCCTCATCTCCTGAGGTCTGTCAGGATAGTCACTGCTGTTCTCCAGATGAGAAAGTGAAGGAAGGAAGAGGGTGACAGACATGGGGTTGTGTGAGACCCGGGCTGGCTCTAACAGCTACCTGGTTCTCTGAGGAGAAAAGACAAGGCAAGGAGAAAAAGGAGGACTGTGCTCACGGATATGAGTCTTGGGAACCAGGTTGCTCTGACATTCTCCCCATAAATGCAAAGATCACACAGCACATAAGGGGCCCTAGAGCTTATCCATAAGGTGGGCTCTCTGGATTTGGCAATTATCAGAGAGAGGAGTTCAAAGTGTGTCTTTCTCTATCCTTAAAGAACCCTGAGGAGTTCTTTCATCTTATCTTTTGTCAGTCATAGACAAAGTCTGGTCTAGAAGTCTTGAGGGCATAGCTTCAAATTTGGATGCTCCTCCACTCCAATTACCTTCTGTATCCTCTAAATAGGAGTAGGACTCTGATCCTCTGAATAGTAGTAACTCCTGCAATCCAGACCTGTGGAACTTGGGCCTCTCTGTTGACTTACTTGTACAGGGACAGCAAGACTTCTGGAACTTTTGTAAGATCCAGTATATGTTCAGGTTTAAGAATTTCTTATTATCTAGTAGCTGTTACTATACCACCTTTAATGATAGTGTGTAGTACTACAAATACACCACTGGGCATTTTGGATGGGCAGGCCTAATATTAGATGCTTTGGTTTCAGGGGACAAAAAGCAAGCCCTGACTAACCCTAAGCAAAACTGAGAATGAGGTGATTTTTCTCTTGGCTGACCTGCTTCCTCTATCAGTGTCCATCTGCTGTCTATGATCAATTACTAATCTGTATCTCAGCTGCCATGTATTGAGCATTATGACATGCCAGGCAATAGACTGTGCACTTCGTATCCCCCAAGACAGAGCCGTAAGTTCTATCGTTCTTCTCATTTCATGTGTGAGAAAAGGTCATGGAGGCTTATGGGGTGAAGTAACCTGCCAGTGGTCGCAGAGCCAGGGAAAGGCAGGGCCAGACTCACCCCCAGGTGTGCAGCAAGAGAATTGTCTCCCTCTGTCAAACGATTCTGAAAGCTTGTATGTGACAACAGCTTAATTGATTATAAGTACTTTGCCTCTGCAGATGTTTATATTTTTAAAAAGACCCCCCTCCAAAAAAAAATAACCATAGGAGTGGAACAAGGGGGCAGAAAGATCATTAAGGCAGGGGCTACCAAGGATTCCTCAAGTCATTCCAAGTTCATGGCTCTGTGCCCATAAGTCAAGCATTCCCTAGCACAGCTCTGTGCACATCACAGACACTTAATAATTAGCTGATTAAAACTCAGTTCATCTTCTCATTAAGTGTAAGAAAAGTACAAGGAAAGCTGCTTTGGTTAACTTTAGCTTCCCCTGTTGACAAAGCATCGGCTTTTGCCAGCAACTCCGAATATGCTCCTTTAAATTCGAAATGCCCACTGTTCCTACGTTGGGTTTTTGTTCTAGTTTTTATACATCACTTGGATTTATATGTTAAGAAAAAATTTTTAAAGATTCTCTAATTCACGGAAATTTATGTTTGGCTTTTATTTTGTCTATGTGTTGAATTAACCAGCTGTGAGGAAGGTGAGCTTGCCATGTTTTACATTGAAATGCCTTTATGATATTTTGTCTTGTTTGTCCTTGATCACAATTTTAGCACGAGCATACTTTTGGATGATCGGTTTCAACCAAAACTAACTGATTTTGCCATGGCACACTTCCGACCCCACCTAGAACATCAGAGTTCTACCATAAATATGACCAGCAACGGCAGTAAACATCTGTGGTACATGCCAGAAGAGTATATCAGACAAGGGAAGCTTTCCATTAAAACAGACGTCTACAGCTTTGGAATTGTGAGTACCAACCACCAGTTAGCGAAGAAGGAGAGTTTATGGCCAAGAACGTTCTAAATTCTGAAAAGAATTTTTTGAAGAGCTTTAATTTGTAGACTTATTGATTTTCTGTTACCTGTCTTGTATGTTAATTTTGTGCAATGAAGCAAGCAGTAAGATATAAAGTCATTAATTAGACTGAACGATATTCACAGTCATGGTTAATAGTTGCAGCAAATTGTGTGCATGTATTTAACATATAAAGCCGACTTTCTATGTATTCTTGTAGGTGATAATGGAAGTCATAACAGGGTGCAGAGTGGTGTTAGATGATCCGAAACATATCCAGCTGGTAAGAATTATCTTTACCTGAGCACTGGTCTCTTGGGCATTTTCCTGATCCGAGTTCTATATGACAAGTTTGTCTCCTTCTCTTCCTAGCGAGATCTCCTCATGGAATTGATGGAGAAGAGAGGCCTCGCTTCATGTCTCTCATTTTTAGATAAGAAAGTGCCTCCCTGTCCTCGGAATTTCTCTGCAAAGCTATTCTGTTTGGCAGGCCAATGCGCTGCAAGGCAGGCAAAGTTAAGACCATCGATGGAAGAAGTGCGTACATACATGGTTTTATTCAAAACTGAGCCCACAGAACCAGGGAAAATCTCAATGGGATAAATTATGTATCTACTTGAATTTTTTTTTATCAATGAGACAAATCCAGCATCCATCAGAGAATGCCAATCTAATAGATAGCTTTTACAAGTCAAAAAGTCACACCATTTGCTACTCTGGTAGAGATCATTGGGTGGAACCAAGCTTCCAGAATAAATCTGATGAAAAGACATAAGTGAGTAGTTTGGAGGGACTATTTTAGTCAATCTTGATTAAAAGATCTGGCCCATTAAAACTGCAGCATATGTTTCCCTTGCTCATTTTAAAATTTATTCATCTATCCATAGATTTAATCATCCATTTATTTATTTATTTATTTATTTATTTATTTATTTATTTATTTATTTAAGTGAACTAATATGTATTTAATGCTGACTTTGTATGTGCCAGACTTTGTATTAGGTGCTGGGGGTACAACAGTGACCCAGATACCCTCAGGCTCACAGTTCAAAGGAGTCATCAGATCAGTAACATGGAATTGTGGCCCAGGAGGAGAAGCATAATGATAGCTAGAAGCCCGGGCTATATGATGAGCCTAGAGTCAGAAATCCAAGCAGCCTGTGGAAGTCAAGGAAGCTTCTTGATAGAGGTGACAGCTTAGCTATGATCTGAAGAACAGGTTGGATCCAGGCAGAAGTAAGGATAGAAGGACATTCTAGGTAGAGAGAATCCACACCTGCAAAGGCTCAGAGGTGATGAAGTCCACAGTGCTAAGACTGCAGGTAGTCATGGAAGTGGTGTAGGGGGTGAGGGAAAGGCCGGAGTGCTTAAAATTATAAAAGCTCAGCTGAGCACAGTGGCTCATGCCTATAATCCCAGCACTTTGAGAGGCTGAGGTGGGAGGATGGCTTGAGGCCAGGAGTTAGAGATCAGCCTGGGCAACAGAGCAAGACCCTGTCTCTAGAAAAAGAACTTAAAAAAAAATAATAATAAAAGCTTCCAGGTTGGACATGAATTCCAGAGGAACGTGAATCCATTTTAGGAGTTTGGATTTTATCCTGAGCCTATCATAGAGCCAAGGAAGGGTTCTAAACAAGGAGATGACATAATCAGAATGGAAAGAGCAGTGGCCTTTGAGCCAGGAGAGCTGTATTCCAGGCCTGACACCACCGGTAAGAGCTGTGTGGAGCCCTGCGCCCAGGAAGGAGCTATGAGCTGTATCGTGGAGGGACAGGGAGTTGGGAGCCACGAGATCTGATGTCAAACAACAGGCCACTGCCATGCTGTCTAGTGATATTGACTCCTCTTTTTGAGCCTCAACTTTATTATCTATCAGATGAGAATAATAATGTCGTTTGTGCAGGTTTAATGAGATAATATACGTGAAAGTACTTTGTAAATTGTAAACTCTATATACATATTTTTAAGAATTATGTGTATGTACGTCTGAAGGAATGTATTATACGTTATATTAGGTCAAGGGTTTCTCAAACCTGGCTGCACATCCCTGTCCCCTGGGAAGACTCTAAAATATAGATTCCTGGACTCTGGACTCCTTATTTTTTGGATGATAATGTCTGGTTGGGGCCAAGGGATTTGTACTGTAAGAAAGCTCCCCTAGGTAATGCTGACACTTAAGAACTACAGATCAGGCCCACCATTCCCCCACTCCTTCCAATCCTCCACATGCTATGGTTGAAGTAAAAGATGTAAAGAGACTGGCCGGAAGTCACAAAGCTAGTTTGGGGCAACTCTAAGGCTAAAGTCTGGTCTCTGGATATGTAACTCAGTGCAGTTTTCTTTTTTACCTTGCTTCAAGTCACTTAATTTACTCCTGAAAATAAAGGGATTTAGTTAATCTTTAAGGTCTCTTCTAATGAGAAATACTATAGTCGAACTTACTTCATGAAAGCGAAAGAATATTCTTTAACAAGAGAGAAAAAACAGGGTGAAAGGGGAGGTTATTCAAGCTTCACTCCATGTCTGTTTGCTTCTTTGTTAATTAGGTCCTAAATACTCTTGAACGTGCTCAAGCCAGCTTATATTTTGCCGAAGATCCTCCCACATCACTGAAGTCCTTCAGGTGTCCTTCTCCTTTGTTTTTGGATAACGTACCAAGTATCCCAGTGGAAGATGATGAAAACCAAAGTAATCATTCACTACCTTCTGATAAAGGTTTGAGGAAAGATAGAATGACTCAAAAAACTCCATTCGAATGCAGCCAGTCTGAGGTTACATTTCTGGGCCTGGACAGAAAGACAGGGAGCAGGAGGAACGAGGAAGCTGACATCATGCCCAGTGCTTCTCATGAAGAAAGTTGGTTCCCAAAGCATGTGGTTCCATCACAGGACCCACAGGCCCATAATGCGAATATGGACCCTTCTACAGAAGCTCCTGGCCACTCTGACAGGATTGGGCCTGTGGAGACTACCTGTTCCTCCGAATTTTCTTGGAATGAATTTGAACAGTACAAAAAGGAATAAAGGTCACCAGAAGATGAAGAACAAAAGCAGGTGTTGCCAAGGCACCTGAGTGTAGGGATCACCTTGGGAAGACACTGTCTCCATAAGTAGTGCCAAGAGAACGATCGGTGGTGGATTTGGGAAATGCATATAAACAATCTGGACAGTTCTATTCTTTTCTTCCCAGCCCCAAAACACAATGAAGAAAATTATTTTATTGGGACTGGATACAATGGCTGACACCTATAATACTAGCACTCTGGGGGAGGCTGCAAGAGCATCGCATGAGGTCAGGAGTTCAAGACCAGCCTGAGCAAGAGTGAGACCCTGTCTCTATGAAAAATTAGCCAGGTGTGGTGGTTTGCGCCTGTAGTCCCAGCTACTAGGGAGGCTGAGGCAGGAGGATCACAGGAGCCCAGGAGTTTGAGGCTGCAGTGAGCTATGATGATGCCACTGCACTCTACCTGAGCAACAGAGCAAGACTGCATCTCAAAAATATATATTTATTTTATTGGGATAATTGCCTCATGATCAAACCCAGGCTAAATTAGAGCCAGTCAGAATGACTCAAGATCATGGATTCTGCCTTAGCCAAACAAAACAATCAAAACCTGCCACACAGGGCCTGGATTCTAACGTCTTCTTCATCATCATCAGTGTGAGTCCTCAGAACCTCCGTCTGCTGAGGACATTCCACTGGAGTCCATCATTTGGTTTACCTTGTTTTTGAAGGTTTGTAGGACGTGTCTAATTTGTAAATGTTAATAGGTGCCTTTTTAAAGAATCACCTTTTTGACTGGACCTTTGTATTTTTCTGTTCTTCTGTTCATCCGTGTCAAGCCTGCCTGGCTGAAAATGAGCCAGGCTCACCCTTGGCTACAGCGTGCTCTGTGTAGAGGGCGGATTCCTTCCCAAGCTCTGTGTTTCTATATTAAAACTCTCAGGATAGTTTCTCGCATATACTATGTATAACGTAGTTGTTGACTATTATTACGGTTTTTTTTTTTTAACAAACTTAAAGACCTATTATATCCTGAGTAGAGCATATGAAATTTTAATCAAGTAATATTTGTTCCTGAGAAAATAGCAGGTCACAAGGGCCTAGGTCAACTTTTTGTTTGGTTCTATACCTTCCAACTCTGTGCCTTTACTCCTGCTGTTTCCTGGATCTCCCCCTTTTGAAAATCCTAGCCAGTCGTCAGGGCTCTGCAAAACTGCTGTCCTCCAGGAAGCTTCTCTGATCTTTCTAGCCAGAAGTACTCACTTTATGAAGCATTTCCATAGGAATTTCTTTGTATTTATATTTTATACTTGTCTCTTTCTGAATTATACAAAGTTGCTTGTGTCATCATACCTCTCTATTAGGTAGATTATAAACTCCCTATATTAGTTTTCTATTGTTGCTGGAATGAATTACACAAGTTTAGTGGCTTAAAGTAACAAATTCATTATTTTGCAGTTTTGGAGATCAAAAGTCCTTGGCATTCCTTCTGGAAGCTCTAGGAGAGAATTTGTTGCCTTTTCTAGCTTCCTGCATTCCTTGGCTTGTGGCCTCTTCCTCCATCTTCAAAGCCAGCAATGTAGCACATTAAAATTTCTCTCTCTCCCTCTCATTACCTCTTCCTCTTCCTCTGTCCTCCTGCCTCTCTCTTATAAAGACCTTTGTCCTTATATTGGGGCCACTCAGATAATCCAGGAAAATCTCTGTGCCTTAAGATCCTTAATTTAATCACACCTGAAAAGTCCCTTTTCTTATGTAAAGTAACATATTCACAGGTATCTTGGATTAGGACATAGACCGTTACCATACTCCCTGAGTGTGAAGGGGCCATCTTTTCAGGGCCTACCATGTTATCCTACACACAGCAAGTGTTTCCTTGTAAATTAAGTTGAATTAAATTGTCTCTGTGAACACACATAATCAAAAATTGAGCTATAATAAACATTGCTGAGTAAATTAACAAAGGGAGGATAATGACTCTGTTTATGATAGAAACACTGAAGAAAATCATTTCCAGAAGATTTCCAGGAAGCTTGGAATAAAAGGGTAGACCTCTAGCTTTCTGTGCATCTGTGCATGTCTCATTTTGGTGAGGGGAGGCAGTGAGTTTGTATGGTTGGGTTGATCGTAGGCAGATTCAAGTTCAGGTTCGAGAACAACTAATCCAAGAAGGAAGTTATCAGGAATCAGGGTCAGGTTAACATACCAAGGTCAGGAATATGGAGTTAAAATTCTCCAAAAAAGGCAGGAAATGAGGTTAAAAACACATCGTGCCTTAATCTGATTGGCCTAATACAAGGCCCCAAAGAAGCAGCTGGGAGAGCCCATGCTTCAGGGCTGCTCTGCAGGGTACCAGCTGCCCGGAGCTGTCTTCTCCATCTGATTGTCATGCATGTGGTCAGGCATGTGTTCACAAGGCTCCCACACTGTCCCTGTGTTAAGACTGGTGGCGGAAAGGGTTAGACTAGATGTCATATAACTTTCTTTCTTGTGACCTTCCTACTTTGGCAATTCTTGATTATACCTTGTTAATGAAAGGAAGCAGCAAAAGTCTTTGGCATTTAGTACAAACTGTTCTGAGGCTGATTTAGCTTGTCTTAGAGATGTAGTTGGAAAGCGTATTGGCTGAATTAGGAACATTAGCCTGGAATCTTGAAAAGTTGCTGCTAATAATTCACAAAAGAGATAATGAAGATTTGACTCTATGTTAAACTGTTTTTTCACTTTGAATAGGGTCCTTCAATGAAGGGTCCTCAAGGGAGCTCTGATTGACACCAGGCCCACATAATTACCCCGCACACATATCATCTGTTGGTATTATGTTGATTTGAACTTGCTTAATTGACTCAGAGCAGGGTTTCTCAAACCGTAGTGTGCATCAGAATGACTTGGAAGGCTTGTTAAGAACAGATTGCTGGGCCCCACCCACCTTCTGATGCAGTAGGCCTGGGGTTAGAAATGCGGCTTTCTATCAAGTTCCCCAGGGCTGCTGCTGCTGCGAAGCCCACTCCTTGAGAACCACTGCCTTCGCATGTGCTTATGTTGTTAATTGGTAGATCCTACTATTCCACCTAGGTTGTATGTTTTTTGAGAAAAGAATAATTTAATTCTTTTATATTCGCCCTATTACCAAGGATATTAGTTAGCATAGAGTAGGAGCTCTAGAAATATTGTTGACCAATGAGCTTATTGACTAGATCATCTTTCTAGGGTGTGGCTGTTTTGGACATCTCAAAGACCATGTCAGATTAGCTGGCAGTGACCTGACTAATCATGCGGTAAGCAGATGTCACTGGCTGGAAAGTACCAAAATCTTCCATTGACTGATCCAGTCCTGTTGCCTGGATCTGCCTTCTAGTGGGTGTATTAATAAATGTCAATTGATGGGAATTCAATCTTGCATCCTGTTACGGGTAGAAAGAGGATACTTTCATGGTTTCATGATGTAGACAGTAAGATACATGAAGAAACCAAGAATGAGCCACCAAATGTTCCTTCTGATCAGCAAACATGAATTAATTAAGAATTTCACTGATCTTCATCCTTGTAACACATTGTGGGCAATCGTCCAGGCAGAGCCTATTTACTATGCTTCTTAGGGCTTTTGTCCTGTTTTACAATGCCCGGAAACATTGAGAAAATATTTTGTTGTTTTTGAAAATAGGTATGGGATTTCTGACATAATCAATTTTATTGACTTCTTGAAAGTTGTAACAATCTGTGACTCACTGCATAGTAGTGTAGTTTTATGGGGCGGTAGATCAGCCTGTGTAGAACAGCTTTTACAACCTGAGATCTGATGAGTGCAGGAGGTGAGGTTTATCATGGGTTGCATTTATTATCTGCTGGGATCAAGGCACTGAGTAAGCTACTAGGGTACCAAGTAAGGAGCAAACAGGTTAGTAGGGAAGAAAGGGCATCTACCCAAGTTAACAGTTCAGTGACATCTGTTATTTGAACCACACACCAACAGAACTGAAAGTAAATGTTGAAAGGGTGAGGAGGAGGAATAGATTACTATGCGCTAGGCTTTTTGGAGGCACTCCCTGGAAAGACAGAAAGGATTAAAAGAAATAGAAAAGAGCAGCAAAGGAGCTCCCCAGGATAGTTATCCAAGGAATTGGGGTCCCACAGTTCCAGCAGAGCTCTGCACAACCCTGTCTCTGGGGCTGGAAGGATGGGATGAGGGTGAAGGGAGTTGGGTCAGGAGCTTAGCGTGGTTGTTTGTGGCTAAAGGTGTGAATCCTGCCTTATAGGTGAGGATGCTGACTCAGGGAAATTAAGACTCAGCAAGTCTTCGGACTTGCTGAAAGTCCTGCCAGATTTGGAGGAGCCAGGATTTGAACCCATATCTGTCTGACTTCAAAGCCCATGCTCTTTCTTGTGGTCCACATTGTACAAAGGAGCCACCGGAGGTTCAAGCTCCTATGAAAAGGCATGGATGTGAAAAATCATATGTTGATTCCACATTTTTTTTTTTGAGACAAGGTCTCATTCTGTTGCTGGAGCTAGAATGCCGTGGCATCATCAAAGCTTATTGCAACCTCACACTCCTGGGCTCAAGCCATCTTCCTGCCTCAGTCTCCCGAGTATCTGGGACTACAGGTGCATCACCACACCTGGCTAATTTTTCTATTTTTTTGTAGAAATGGGGTCTTTCTTGCTTTTCTTAGGCTAGTCTTGAACTCTTGACTTCAAGCAATCCTCCTGAATTAGCCTCCCAAAGTGCTGGGATTATAGGTTTGAGCTACCACGTCCAGCCAGTTCCACAAATTTTTAGTAGGCATGCAAGTCTTGCCATGTCTTCTGCCTTTTTCACTATCCTATTCCTCTTCTACAGGCACCTACCTCTGTAGTCATTTGATGTGAGTTAAGTGAATTCATCTATCTATCCATGCATGCACTGGATAAATATTTTTCAATGGCCTCCTTTGTGTCAGGTGCTGTCCTAGGAACTGGGGATACAGTGGAGATCAAAACCAACAAAGATCCTCATGGAGCTGCTGCTTGAGTGCATAAATCTTAGAGTATTCTCCAATCATAGGTGCCATCTTCTCTGCCAGCCAGCTCTTCTGAATAGGTTCAGAGAGGTTTTCTCCTTGTCCCATTGTGTAACTGATAACCCCATGGTGGCCCATCACTATGGTATTAGTGTACACTAAGTAGTCTGTGACATGCTTTGTGGCAATCATGACAGACCCTATTCTATTGACTTACAGTTTCTCCAGTGATTTATTTGGCTACTGATGGCATCTTCGGCAGGCATCTTCCAAGGGGGCTGAAGCAGCTACACAAACTTCACCTCACTATCACACAGTA